CCGGCTCCAGGCAGGGCCCACACCCCCTGGCTTTCTCTCCCTTGCTTCTCTCCCGCCTCCTCGGGAGAGCTCTCTAGGAAGCCGCCCCAAACACCTCCTGCCCCCAGGGCTCTGTCTTGGGCCTGTTTTATGGGCACCTGGACCCAGACCAGAGCCCAGAGTACAAGGCGGGGTTCTGGTTTGAGGGCTGCGTCTCTTTCCTCCCTGCTCCCCACCCAGCGCTTAAGTAAGAAACGCAGCCCAGCCCGGCAGATCGAAGCCTCTCCTCGCTCCTCTGCCCTTCTCCGGAGCCCTGGGCACAGCACCCAGCCCTCCCGCCCTCCGCAGCCCGTCTGCTGCCAGCTGTCCCAGGGAAGCCTGGGCGGCTACAGACTCCTTCCCTGCTCACGCCCCAGGTGCTGAGAAATGTGAGGAGCCCCCCCCCGCGCCCCGGGGGCCCTCCGCACTGCCACACAGGCTGCCTGCTCGGCCTGGCTGTGCCCTAAGGGACAGACTTGGTCAAGATCTAAAGAGAACTTTTTCCTCGTGGTCAGACTCCTGCTGTCCCAATACAGCGGCTCTTCAGCGTGAAATGTGTTTCCTCTGTTCGCTGGCTGCTGTCCTCGCCACCCTCACCTCCACACACTGCTGGCCCCGGCACGGCACGGCACGGCACAGGGCCCGACTTGACTTCCTAGTCCCCGGAGCTCCGGGCGCCCGGCCTGCTTGAGCGGCCCCCTCCGCGCCACGGCCCTCTCCGTTCTGCTTGGCTTCTGCCTCAACCCTTGCTCCCCGCTCTGTTTTCCTCCCTCCCCAGGCTGAGTCAGCAAAGCAAGAAATGGGTCAAGCACGATTGATTAAGCATCCGGATCCTCTATCTGACTCAACGTCCCCTTTCCCAGCAGCTGTTTCCCGCTGTCCGGCCGCCGTCCTCCCTGAAACACCCACAGCTGTCACGACCTACAAACATCCTGCCTTTGGCCAAACTCTGGCCTGGCTCCTCCGACTCTTTGTCAGTGAGGCTTCGACCGTGGCCTCCAGACACTGCCACGGCTTGGAAGCGCTCAAGCCCCATCCTGAAAATGACCCTACACCACCCCAAAGGGCCCTCCCGGGAGAGCCAAGCCTGCCAAGAGAATCGGCCGTCCCGGTCACCCCGAAAGACAGAGCCCCTGTGACCCGCCAGCGTGGGAGGGCGGGACCCTGACTCCGATTAAGGCCAGTTCACGTCGGCGATGAGCTTCACACGGAGTGACCCGCCCACCACTGCTTCCCACCCCGCGTCACCCTGGACACCCTGAGGCCGGGCTGAGTCACCGCTACCTCCTCCCGTTTGCAACAGTGTATTACTGATTGAAGCAGTCCTTACCTCCTGTCCGCCTCTCAGTACTGTAAAAGAACCAGTACGCGCTGTAAGTATGCGGCATCTACCACACAGGAAGAAGGAATTTAGGGTAAACCCTAGGTAGGTCAGTATGCAAACGCGCAGCCACAGCTAAACAGAAGACACAGAGAGTGTTAGGCACAGGCACCCATTAGAACAGCTTTGGGCTCAGGCAAGTTGCACTATTTGCTACTGAGCTATACAGAATTTTTCTATACATTTGATAATTTGCAATAAAAGCCAAGTAATATAAACATGGGGCCTGTGAGCCAGACAGCTAGACGCACGATCCACATGGGTGTGTCACAGCTCAGACACAGGAGCACTTTCGAGGTGGGTGACGCACTATTTTCAAAATGGTGACAGTCTGCTGTTAAAATCTCCAACACGAGTCTTTCTCGACAAGAAGGCCTTTGGGTCCTGGGAGAGCTAGCTCAGGGCTGTTAAGCTGAGCTTCCGGGTGTGGACAGCGTCAGCAGGCTCTCCGTGTGCACGCCATCGGCCACCCTGTGTTCACACTCGCGCCTGAACTCTCGCTAGCTTCCAAGCCATCACCCAGGACAGCACAGCTGCAGGGAGCACCCCGCCTGCCTCGGCCCAGCACACAGCAGAGCCGGGGCGCAAGGTCAGATACCACGTGCCCGGTATGAGCTCTCAGCAGCCCCAAGCTCAGCCTGCCAAACTCCCCGTAAGCGTGGCACTGGCCAGGTTTCTGTAGGAAGCTGGGACCATTTCTGGCCATACACTTACCTCTGCTTCGGAGGAAGTTGAGTCCTCAGGACCACAGAGGCCCCAGTCCCCCCTCAAGTAACCCGAGTCCCAACTTGTTCGCTGTCCCCAAGTGGAGCCCTAGAGCTTCTGCAACCCCATCTCAGGGCGGCCTGGCCCACCCACTGCTGGCATCCTGCCAGCCCCTGCTCCTCCTGGCGTCAGGCACTGGCATGAAAAAGGTCAAAGAGAACTCACTCTGCGTGGAGACGACGGGCACCAAAACTAGATGGGATTCCCAATTCCAAAGCGGCCCGCTGTCAGATTTCTCCTCACTGCGCTCCAGTGCTCCAAGCGCCCACCCGTGACGGCAGGGACCTCGGGCAGGGAGGGGTTCTGGGCCCCAGCCGGGAGCCTCCTGCAGTTCAGGGGACATGAGGCAGGGGCAGAGGGCAGAGAACAGCAGGGAGGGCACCGATTCTTTCATCCCTTTCACCCCCGAGACGCACGAGCTGAGATACAAAGCAACCTGGCAGCAAAGGGGACCGAGCAGCAGAAGCCACTGCTCCTGATGAATGCACACAGCAGCCCACAGGCCAGAGCGCAGCCGGCAGGCAGGATTCCTGCACATTCCAAGCCCTCTGCCGCCCTGGGCCCTTGCCAAGGCCTGTGTACCCCTTGGGTCCTGTGCATCCCCACTGGAGGGGAAGCTCCACAAGCATAAGGGTCTGGTGCTCTCTGCCCGTCACATTGCATCCCAGTGGTGCTGTCTTCCGGGAGGATTACATTGGAATCAGACAGACTCGGCTGGGTGGTTTGTCCGGGGCAGCTCGGAGGCCTGGGAAGAGTAAAACCAGGAAGAGGGACAGCTGACTAAAGACGTTCTCGTGAGACTTGGAAGAGTTTCCAGAAGCTTCTAGAACAGTCCCTCCAGAGGAGGCCAGGCTGCTTTCATCCACCCTGCGTGTCTCCAGGAGGTGACCCCTCCTCCCAGGCCAGGCTGGGGTTCCAGGGACAGGAGGGAGAGGGCCTTGCAAGCTCACAGTGGGGACCCTGCCTCAGTGCCCCAGCCTGCCCGCTGGCCACGGAAGAAGTGGAGGGGTGGAAGGCATCCAACCCATCCCCCAGAAGGCACAGGGATATAAAGATATATTTTTAATGAACAAATGGATCCTTCTTGATCCAGCCCTGTATCTACATGACAAGAATACGCAGTCCCGGCCATCTCTCTGAAGACAGCGGCCTGGCCCATCGAGACAGAAAACCCTTACATGGCCAAGGAGCTCTGCCTCCTTTGACTTCATTTCCCATAGCACACGCCTGCCTGCGGGTCCCCTCCGGGGTGCAGGGTGTCTGCACTGCACAGTGAATGAGGAGGCCCCTTGCAGCCTCCAGGAGCCCCCGTCACCTAGCCCCTCCTGTCCCTCCTGACGAGTCCCTCCAGCCCCCTCAGGCTGGCAGCACCACCCACCTGTCCCACCCGCCACACCTGGGGTCCCGCCTCCTCCGGGCAGTTCATGAACACACACACACACACACACACACACACACGATAAACGCAACCCCATCTTCACCCCTCACCTGGCTGCCCCGCCCCAGCCCCTCTTCCAGCCAACCCCCCTCTGGCTATTCTCCACCACCCACCCAGCCTCCAACCTGGAACCCCAAGAACCTAGCAAGTGGCTGCTTGCTGGGTGGCTGTAACTCTACTTCCACTTACTGTCTGCATGATCCTATTTCTTTCTTTTTTTGGGGGGGGGTACCGGGGATCGAACTCAGGACCTTGCACTTGCAAGGCAAGTGGGGCAGAACCATTGAGCTAAATCCCCAGCCCTGCATGGTCCTGTTTTTGATAATCAGTCGGCATCGTGGTGCTGTGATCCTAAATCCAACCACTTGATTCTGTGTCCCCCGGATCCCGGTGACCTCCCAACCAGCCCAGGCCTGTCTCTCCCTTCAGAGGCCTCTGGTGACCACCAGACTCCTGCATCCAAAGTCCAGCTCTCTCCTTCCCCTAGCAGGAGCTGTCTTGGGGACCCCCTTCCATTCTCACCCCCGGGCCCCAGTGCCTCTAGGTCACCAGAGGTGGCAGGTTTTCTTCAGCTCTGGTTCACTGGCAGCCCTGGGGCCTGCACCAAGCTTTGTCCAATAAACAGGAATTGAACGGTGGGGCAGGGGATGAAGTGGCCGGCTCTACTAGGGCTGTCCAAGCATGTCCAGAGCAGCTTAGAAATGCAGGCTCCTGGCTGCCTCAGACTCGGGGAGTCAGAACTCGGGGCGTCTGAGCACCTTCAGGTGACTCTGCTCCGAGGCAGGTTTACACTTCCGACTCGTGGCTCCTGGCACCAGCGAGCCCGGTTTCCCACTGGAACAGCCCTTGGTCCAGTGACTGGGCTCCAAATGGGCCCCCTGGCCTCAGAGCTGGAGGAGGGGCGGGTTGGGCCCGGGCGAGGGGGTCTGGACAAACGTCGCCGAGGGTTCTCGGGGAGCAGGCTGTGGACCAAGAGGGGCAGGGCCTGCCAGGACAACAGACGCAACGGGCGGGCGGAGGAGCCCAAACCCAATGGCTCAGGGTGTGGCTAGGCGCCTCCCCGCCCCCCCAGAGGCAATGCGTCCGCCCCAAGCTGAGTGGTCCGAGTCCCATCGGAACTGGCCGGGCCGGAGTGGGAGAGCACGCGGCAGACCGTGCGTGAGGCTTTGCTGCGGAGCAGGAGCGAGCGAGCACGAGGGCCGAGGCCGCGGGTGCTATGAGCGCAGCGCGCAGGACCGGCGGTGGCGGCCCGGCCTGGAGCGGACGCTCGGAAGGCGCCGAAGGGGCTGAGGGCGGGGACCGCTCTTTCCTCCCCGCTGACTCCTCGTCCCGCCGGAGCCCCGGCGCAGCTAGGCGGGGCAGGGTCCCGGCCACCCCGCCCCCAGCGAGGCCCACGCCGTGCGCACGTGCGTCACAGCAGGTGACGGCGCCCCGGGCTACTTAAGGGCAGCGCGGGCCGCCCGTGGGACTCGGGACTCGCCGCTGCGCCCCAGGTAGGTACCGCAGTCCGTTCGGTGCGCGCGGGAGGGGCGCAGGGCGCAGGGCGGAGGGCGGGCGGGCTCTGCATTCTCCTCCCAGGACAGCCCGGAGGTGCGGGCAGCCGGGTCTCGGGCGCCTTCCGATCCCGCCCGGGAGCCCCGCGGTCTGCGCCCCGGAAAGTTCACAGGTCGGCCGCGCCCGAGCCGCCCCTCCCGCGCTCAGCCCGGCCGCCCCGGCGTCTCCAGCGCGCGCTCCCCAGACCCCGCGCGCTTGCCGGCGGACCGACCCCATCCCTCCTCAGCACGGACCTGGGCCCCGGAAACCCCGGGGACCGCGGCTCCCTGCCCCCTCATCCCCTGCGCCCTCCACAGCCATGGACCGTGGCCTGAGCCTGTGCCTGTGCGTGTTGATGGCGGTTCTGGCGACCCGCGCCTGGACGCAGCCGCTGTCCCCGGCAGGGCCCCCGGGCCCCGGGACCCCAGGCCCAGAGGACGCGCCCCGGAGGCAGCTGCGGGCCGCGCCGAGGACGGGCGCCGAGCCTCGGGCGCGCCTGGGTGCGCTGCTCGCCCGGTACCTCCAGCAGGCCCGGAAAGGTAAGGCCCTCTCCCCCCGCCTCCGCCCGCTGCCCCAGTCCGACCTTCTCCTTCCTGCCCAAAGGAAGGTGTCCCCTTTCCCGAGTCCCCCGCCTCAGACCGGGCGGTTCTGGGGCGTCCTGTGTGGCAGACTGAAAGAGGATGTGCAGGACTTGAGTTGAACCTCCTTAAACTCGTCTTTTGAGCCCATTTGGACCACTGCGCCATTTCACGGGCACATTTAAAGATACTGACTACACCCACAAAGGGGCTCCAGAGGCACCAAACATCCTCTGCCCGCTGTGGTCCTCGGAGTCCCCGTGGAAACGCTCTGTCCGGGGTGCCCGATGCTGACAAGAAGTGGCAGTGTGTCTGTCTGCACCAGAGTGGTGACACCAGAGCTGGCAGCAGCTTGGGGCTTCTCCTGGCAGCGGGTGACACGGTTGCAGAGAGATGCGCTGGTCTGCATTTTGCTGCTGGAGAGAGACAGTCTTCGAAGCATCGGAGTCCTTCTCTGGGAGTGGGGTGACTTGGCCACCCTTTCCTGGCCTGACTTTCCCATGGCAAAGAGAAGAGCCCGGGGTTCCCTGAGCCCCTTCCTGGTCTCTGTGACCCCGACAGGCTCGGCCACTGCCGGCAGCCTGCAGGGTCCTGACTGGGGACGGTGTTTCCTCTCGGTGTTGTCCACAGGACGCCGGTGACCCTGGCTGCTGGGCAGGCCGAGGGAGGTGCAGGCAGTCCTTGCCATGTGTGGGTTTGAGCCTCAGCTCCTGGCTCAACCAGAAGGGAGGACATGCAGGGGTCAGCTCTCAGCCTCCTGCGCTTCTATGCGACGATAAGTTGGGGCCTTTATGTCCGGGGCACTTCAGAGGACAGGGCAGGAGCCTGCTGTCACTGCTCTCTCTCCTGCAGGGAAATCACCCCGCTGTGTTGCTTGCCTGCTACTTACATTGGGAGACGGCAACTCGGGCGGGAGACGGAACAAGCCCGACCGCTTTGGGGCTGCTTCTCATCTCAGATGTGAAAGTATTTAGTGCCTGCCCCTGATGTGGCCTGAAGGTCAGCCAGACCCACCCGAAGTGTCCTAGGCTATCCCTGAGCCACAGATAAAGAACTGTCTCCGTGCTTTAGAAAGATCCAAGAGAAACGGTCTGGACAGAAAATGAGTCGCTGGACCAGCCCCTGGCCCGACTCTTGGGTGGCTCTGGCAGCAGGAGCCAGGACCTTAGCTGGAAGGGTTTTCCAAGCCATGTTCTTAACCCCTCTCCCTGCCCTTCAGCACGGGCCGAACACGCCCCAGTAGGAGCAGCAGCCACGTAGGAATTAGCTGCTGCACTCGGATCAGTGCCAGCGTGGGACCGCCCTGCTCCTCTAGCTGACACCCGGGAACGAGGGGTGATATTTATACACACGCACCACGTGGCGCCCTGGGATATTTGCATACTTTGAGATTGTATCAGACTTTCACTCAGCTCCAGGCTCTTTAGTGCTTCAAGGCTGTAGCCGAGAGCCTGTACTTGTGAGATTCTTAGTACAATCGCCCTCAGGGCTCTTGGTGGCCTGGGAGATGAGGTTCTAGCAGGGGAGGCCTCTGGTGGCCCAGTGGCTCATAGCTCACACCTGCCGGGACCTGCAGAGTCTGGTGCCGCGTCTGACAGCCTCTCTCCCACCTTTCGAGAGCCCCGACGGCTCCTCCAGGCCCGCTGTGTCCATGTGGAGGCCATGGCTCCCAGGGGTGAGTGACAGTGGCGTGGCCTCCCCTCTAGGAAGCAGCAGGGCCGAAGCCCCTTCCACGTCCTGGCATCCCTAGCAGCCCAGTGGCTCACTCTCCTGGGCTTAAAGGGTCAAGTTCTTGGCTCCAGTTCCGTAGATGAGTTGTCAGCCCTCCTCTGCATCAGTGTGGGACAGGCGCAGGGACAGGTACAGGTGCCAACAGTGTGAGGACTGGGGAGTGGAGGGGAGCACCAGGCACCCCAGCTGCTGGCTGCTGTTGGAGCTGTACTTGCTTTACGCAGAGACTGGGCAGTGGCAGCCCCGAAGTGGAGTCATCTCAGAGCAGACAGCAGCAGGGTCATTTCCACGCAGCTGTCCCCAGAGCGGCCCCTGTGGACCAGCTCCCAGCAGGGCTGTCTTCATCCTGCCGTGGGCAGTGGGCAGTGTCCACGGCAGGGGCTGCCACCTGCCGAGGTGATGCTTCACTCCCAGCTGGGAAGGGAGGGGCAGTGAGAGGCGGGGAACTTACTCTGTGTGCTGCTCCCGGCTTAGGGGCTGGGAACGCTCCTCACCGTGAGACGGGATGCTGCCCGCCTCTGTGGGCTGTTCACCAGTGAAGGAGCTGCCCATGACCCCTCCGCCTGGGGTGAGGACCCCAGAGGCTGTTCATGCCTCTCCCTTGGGTGGCCAGGCCCCTGCAGGGTGGCCCTGGCCCCCGGCCCTGCTCACTCAGCAGGCTCCAGGCCTGCGCAGATGGCCTTGCTCTGACTGCGCCCACTTCGGGTTCAGTGTCACGTTCAGTCAGCCGCCTTCATGACCTCTCCTCTACAGGTATTTACTGAGAAGCTGAGATCTTAGCTGACTGTGTCTTTTTCAGGTTCTTAAGGTAGTTTTCAAATTAATAATTTTAAAACAGTATTCACATAGCAGTGGGACTCGATTCCCTGCCCCATTTTTTTTTGGTACCGGGGATTGAACTCTGTACCTTGTGCTTGAGAGGCAGATGCCGGAACTCCTGAGCTACATCTCCAGCCCTCCCCTTTCTTGTTTTACTTTGCTTTGCTTTTGTTTTTAACCACTCCATCGAGATGTTGTAACTGAACCAGCTTACAGCTCTCTGGACGGGCCAGGCGAGTTCGAGGGTGCTAAGGGGTGAGATTTGGAAACAGATGGGCACCAGGGAAAGCCCAGCTGGCTTTTGCTGAGAGCCACAGACACAGGGACCTGTGTTGGAGGTTGGAGGCGAGGTAAACTGAGGCAAGCCTGGGTCTGTGCCAGGCAGGAGCAGAGGAGTCCACGTGAGGATTGGAGAATGCGGCCCGGCGGTCCCGCCTGTGGGCCCTCGGTGGCTCGCTGGCAGCCGTCGGGCCTGAGGCTCTGTGCATCTGCCTTCTCTGCTCTTCCAGACCCTCAGTCACAGCCTAGGTGAGCGGCCTTGTTCCTTCTCTCTGCTTGCAGCGCCTTCCGGCCGCATGACCGTGGTCAAGAGCCTGCAGGGCCTGGACCCCAACCACAGGATAAGCGACCGGGACTACGTGGGCTGGATGGACTTTGGCCGGCGCAGCGCCGAGGAGTCCGAGTACCCCGCGTACCCCGCGTAGAGACCGGGGCAGGACACAGCCTCATCCCACTCGTCGGCCTCTGCCTGACACTTTAACAATCTGCTCCGCCCTCCGTGCGAATGACCCGTCTGTCGAGCTTGTCCAGTGCCACCCCGCGCCCCGCAGAACTGTGCCATGGGAAGATGGTGTGTCCTTCGCCTGTGGCGCCCGGGCCTGCGATGTTGCTGTGTTATTAAAGTGATTTCATTCCACGCCTCTTCCATGTGTCTGCCTGCTGGGGAGAGGAGCTGGGACCCTGCACCCCAGGCCGGTGGCGAGAGTGTCTCGGGCCGAGGAAGGTGCCTTCTGCAGCCGGCTCCAGGGCCGCCCCAGCCGCCTGACCCATCTCTTCTGCCCACCCCACTGCCCCAGGGTATCTTTGGGGTTCTCTGAGCCTTTAAGTGAGTTTTATAGGGCAGTGCTATGCCAGGCTTTTAAAATTATTCTTCTTTCAGTACTGGGGTTGAACCCAGAGCCTTTGCACTGAGCTACAACCCAGCCTTTTAGAAGTTTTCTTATTTTGAGACAAGGTCTCACTGAGTTGCCCCAACTGGGCTGGAACTTGTGATTCTCCTGCCTCAGCCTCCCAGAGTGCTGGGATCACAAGCATGTGCCACCATTCCCGGACTCCGCAGCCTGTGTCATGGAGTCACCATCCTTCCTCTGGACCGGGCAGCAGACTGAGAGGGGGGGTGCTGGGTGCATGAGCTGTGAGGGTGAGGACTTAGTTCAGCACCCAGGCTACTGGGGCCTCCATGTGCTAGCACTTCTCAGGCCCCTGGAGCATCCTGTTGAGCCGTGTCCCAGCTGGGGCCTGACGCAGCCCCTGACGTCCACGTGGCTGCCTGGTACACCTTGGGAAGGGCCTGTCACCTTCCTGGAGCCCTGTGGTGGAGAGGCCCTGTGTTCGGGGGGCACGTGGGAGCCCCGTCACCATCTGCTGGGATCAGGAAGGGCCAGGCGATGGCGGCATGGGGGGTTCTGCTGCCCCAGCTGACCCTGGGGGCTTCAGGCTGTCACCCACCCGGGGCGCACAACTTGCAGCCCAAAGGGAAGACGGAAAAGAGCACTGGCAGATCCGCGCCAGGCCTCGGAGGGGACCCTGCCCCCACTGCTACAGATCTCAGGGCCTCTTGGCGGGGCGGGAAAGCACCGGGAAGTCCCGGGGATGCCCAGGGAGGCTGGGCCTGAGCAGAGCCAGAGCTGAGCCGAAGTCAGGGTTCAGTGTGAGACCAAGGCCCGACCTGGCGCTCGCCACGCCTGCTCAGACTTGCGCGTCCAGTCCCATTCAGCCCCGGCCAGACGCGGGAGGTCTAGCACCACGGCGCCTCGGCCCCAGCAAAACCCTCGGTTTTGATGAGCAGTGCGGGTATTGTGGGCGGGTTGTGCCCTCTCGAGTGTCCGCACGCCCACACGTGTGTTGCTTGTGTGCTGGCAGAGGGGTGGGGTTGGATGGGTTGCCAGGGAAGTGGCGTGCGGTTCTCAGAGGTAGTCACGACTGCGAACACACGACACGTGCCAAAGAGCGCGCGCCTCACTGCCAGTACTCGACCCAGGACGGCGCCACAGCCCCTGCGGGACAGCCAGCCCCAGACACCGCTGGCCGTGCAGTGGGAGTGGCTCGTGCCTCTGGGTGGATGGAGTGCGGTGTCTGGGTGGTCTGCTACCCAGGGTGGAAGTCGGTTCATCTTCAGGGGCAGCTTCCCCATGTTTCTCAGGACCAGAAGTATCCACTCCTCCGAGTTCCCTAGGCTTGCGGTGTGAGCAGCCGCCAGTGCCAGTAGCGCCAGGGCGCCTGGGCTCCCGCCAGAGCCCCTCAGCCAGGCGGGAAGGGGAAGGCGGAAGCTCCGCCCGAGACCTTGGCTGACGTCAGCTCAGCGATGTGAGCCTGCTGCTCCACAAGCACTCGGGGGCCCCCAGCCTAGCCGAGGGGACCCAGTGGCACCCTGGCTGTGAGGCTCGGTGGTCCAGGCAGAAAGAGAGCATGTGCGGGAGAAAGATGTGCTCTCTCCGCTTAACAAACAGCAGGAAAATCACCACCCTGTGTCCTTGTCCTGTCCCGGTAGCCAAAGGGGCGAATCCCACTAGCTAGACATTTCCAGGTACCGTGAATGTCTTTCTGCGAAGGCTCAGGGTCCCAAAGGTAAATAAAGCCACAGTCCGGCAGAAAGGGAGGACCAGGCTCTCTGACCTCTGGGCCTCCGGTTCGGAAATCCTCTCTCCCGGGTGCTGAGGGGCCTCGGTGGTGTCCGTGTCCTCCCGGCCCCCAAGCTGGCTGGCCCCAGGCGCACTGCACACCCTCCTGTCCTCTCCGCTCCCTGCCACTCAGAGCCCAGGTTATGCCCAGTTCTGCACTGGCACCCTTTTCCTCTCAGAGGCCGGCCCCGGGGGCAGAGATTCTGTTGACGTTGACGCTGTCAGTTTTCATTTTATCCCAGACAACTTAAGGGTTATTTTTGGAAAAACGATGTGTTTGTTATACCAGGTACTGAACCGGTTAGGTTGGGTCGTAAGTCGGAACCTGCCTCCGTGAGCTGTGAGGAGGTCGGCTTGATTTTGAACCTGTGCTGTTCCTTGGTTCCATCTCCACTGTGCGCCCCCCGTGGCCAGTATGGGAGCCGAGTGGCCGCTTAACCTTACTCCGGTGACACTGGGAAGGACCCGACCCAAAGCTGCAGGCTGGGGTGACTATGGGGCTGCTGTCTTGAGCCCCCCGTCGCCTCCCCAGTGCTTTCAGTCCCTGGAGGGTCCCCGGTGTGGGTCCTCCACCCGGAGACGTGGGCGGGCACTGTCCTGCACACACTTCCATCCGTGTTGGGAGCATGTCCAGGCCCCACAGCAGAGCAGGGAGAGCAGAAAGAACCAGTGAGGTGCGCCCGTCCTCTAGGGCTCACAGCTCCCCTGAGCAACAGCACTTCCCTACGTCCTCGGAGGCGTGGCCCCTTACTGGCTGCACCACCTCGGAGGTGGCTGTGCCCAGGTTGGGACCAGAGATCAGAGGCAAGGAGAAGGTGCGGACATCTGTGCCCCTCCGGGCGAGGGCGTGCCCACTCCACTGAGGTGGAGCTGTAGGACGGTCCTGGGGATGTTGGTGCCCGGCGCACTCCTGGGGGCCAGGGAGACGCAGGAAGCCAGGAGGCTCGGGGACTCGTGACCGCTCTGTGCCACCTCTCCTGAGGTGACCAGCGGGAAGAGCCGGGGACAGTGGTGCTTCCACCACCTTCCCCGGAACCACCGCAGCAGGGTTTGGAAATGCAGAAATTTCACCTAAAGCCCAGTGTCTGAAACTCTGGCAGCGACGCACCTGCTTCTCTGCACAGTGACAAGGTGTGCAGAACCCTCTCCCCTGGCCCATCCCACACGTTTGCTGCATTTACAACCCGGGCTGCGGGGTCACCTGCTCCCAACGGTGACAGAAGGGACAGGGCGGCACATCCAGGCTCCTTCCTCCCCTCCCAGCCTTGGGTCTGGGCCCTGTCTCCCTGCCCTCACCCGGAGCCTCCTCTGCCACCGCCCCTTTGGGCTCTGTGCCTCGGTCTCCCTCAGCTCCCCTCAGCCCGATTCGAGCTGGCGGGCCCAGCCATGCCATGGAGTTGAGTCCCTGCCCCGAGCCCACCAGGCCGGACTCCGCGGAGCTCTGACATCTGGATGAGATGTCAGCTCACGACATGCTGGCAGGTTAAACCAGCGACCCATGGGAAAGGGCTCTTCTCCAAGAATGGGGGTTTATTTTATTATCTTAATTTCAAGTCCATTCACGGGACTCCCAAGAGGCTTGTGGTCTGGAAAATCTCCAGAGAGAACCAGAATTGCTGACAGGGGGTGAAGCGCATCAAATCAAGCTCCAAGACCAGTGCCCTCTCTCTCCCTGCCTTCCTGCAGCTGCCGTGCCAGCCTGGGCCGATGGACACGGGAGTGTTCAGTCAGGGTGTTCAGGCCTCGGAGCCCAGGCTGCTCCGGGCTGCAGCCGGAGTGGCCTCCGGGTCTGTGACCGATGTCTCAGCCGGAAGGGCTCTGACTGCTCCCCTGTCTCAAGCCCTTCCTTGGCTCCGCACCGCACTGAAAAGCACCTGTGGGCACCTGTGTGCCAGGCACAGGCAGGTGCGTCAGGGACAGAGCACCAAGGAGGGGACAGGGTAGAGGGCCGGCCAGCAGCAAGGACCAGGGCAGCAGAGCTCCCAGCTGCTGGCCCCTGACATGCAGTCTCTGAGGGTCTCTAATCAGCCCCAGGGGAGCCAGGAACCCAGGGGCAGGGAAGTCTCAACAGCAGGAGAAATGGCCCTGGCTTCCTCTCCTGTGGCGGACAGCAGCGCCCTCACGTGGACATTTAAAGAAGACGCCTCAGGGTGCCAACCTCTCAGGCGCCCCCTGCAGGATTCAGGCTCCTTTCTCCTGTCCACCCCGGTCAACCAAAATTTTAAAAATATATAATTCAGGGCAGGGAACTGTTTGCTAAGAACGAGTGATTTATTTTGTCATTTTATTTTTGAACTCTTAATAGGCCACCAAAAGATTCCTGAGTTTGGAGAAGTCACCTAATAAAACTGACAGAACAGGGGAGCTGACAACTAAAATGCCTTTTTGCAGAATTGAAACCAAGAAAAAGAACTCTTGGAGGCATTTCTAAGGCAACTTGGTAACTATGGTTACCCCTAATTAGTGAGCACCTTATGCTTTCCAGATTAGAATGAAGGAAAATGAAAGGAAAAGCAGGCGCAAATAAGCACAGATGCTAAGCTCCTTGCATGCACATGATCTTGTATTTTGAACATGAAAGCAAGATAGAGTAGCTCGGAATCTGGAGATCAGCTCCCCCCACCTTTGCCTTCACTTCTTTGTCTCTCCGCACACAAGGAGGATGCAGAAACTGAAGCTGGGAATGGGGAAATCCTCCTGAAGAGGGTGACACCCAGGGACAGGCAGCCCCATGGCTGAGTCTGGCTGGGACAGGCGGTCTTCCAGCAGGAGGCAGAAGGCTCCGGAGTCTCCAAGGGGTTTGCCCTCTTCGAGGAAGGAAGCCTCAAGCTACGACGGACAGACTGGTGACAAAGGTGCCCAGGAACACTGGCCATGCTGTGCAGGGTGCGAGGGTTTTTCTCTTCCTTCTCCCTTACTGGGAAAGAACAGTAGGGCTCGAGCCAGAGAAGATAAACTGTGGCCCGGAGCAGAAGCCTCGGAAGCTGTCCATTTGTTCCGCTCTCCATTCATTCAA